ACGAGGGAAAGTTAACTCCTAGTTTAGCGAATATGTTTTTAGATTATGACGAATTGGCAATAGTTCATTAACGATTGAACATTTACAATTTTCTAATTTCTAACAATCAGTTATGTGACCTACAATTTTTGAGTTATTTAAAGAGTCAACATCACACACATTACATTATATTTTTGGTTGAAATATATTTGAATAGATATTTGCAATTTTTTGAGCATTAGTGCCATTAATGGTAAAACTACTTAAAGGCTTTGCTGGTTCTGTATTACAATTTGGGAATTTGTATTTTGGCCCATCGATCATCTTTAATATATCGTACTTTTGCTGTTGTTTTTAATAAATGTTTAAGCATATAAAGCACTTAGATTTTCATGACCTTAATAAATTCGTAGAGCCACCTTTCTTCACCCATGAACAAGCCAACCTCTTGGTGTGAATGATTTTATGATAATTGTAAATAACACTATAAGTATATAAAATCTGTATACTTAACTAATTTGATCTTTTAATGTCGTTTATGAGGAAAATATGATCTTAATTCAATACTGATATTTGTTCCGTCATAGAAACATTAAGCTCAAATTTACAAAGGAGTTACCTTAAAACCATAGTTAAGATCAAAACATTTTTCAGCCTCATATATGATAAATCTATGCTATTATGTTCTTTTGTTTAGTGTTTGCAAATATTAATCTGTAAAACATAACAGAAGAACAATTCACCTTCTTCAAACATGCTTCAAAAAGTACTAATTCAGTATCATTATCAGTATTGCAGGGAAGGTTGCATAAAATCAATTAAATGTCCCAACATAATCATTGGTTTATGTCTAATTTTAATGTCAATTAGTCTGTCTTACCGTTTCTGACTTGTCTAACACAGAAACTTTTAAGAAATCGAAAGAGTGTGCAGGCAGCTCAGTCTCAAAGTGTAGATTTTTTATTTTATTTACGCAGTTTTGTTGTAAGTAATATCACGTTTATTCAGAAATTATTTTTCCAGGTAGACATAATAGCTTCTTTTTATTCGTGTATCATTTTACATGAGAAATAATGATGAAACTTCCTTGAGCATCATGACCCATTAAAGTCAAGCGATTTTTAACTTTACAGAAACGTTTGGAACAAATATATGGGGTAATACATTTATTTCTGAAACAATTAAAATAGATATGCTGTTGGTATATGTATATACTAATGGGATAATCGTATTTTATCAGAACGATGTTCTAGTCCCTCGATGCCCTTAGAACTAGCCTCATTGTCGCTTGTGCTTAATTTCAAGGTTATGATGATGCACAGACAATACAGTTTTCCACTGTAACAAGTTTTTGTGAAGGATGGGTATATGAATCGTAGTTTGCACATTTTGACAAACTTTACACAGACCTTTCACTGTACGAGAGACGCCAGTTTCCAAGGTTATGTTTAAATAGACACAACGGTAAATTGAAGGAAATGGGTATCGACAGATATGTTATCCAATAGGATTGCTGTTTAATCAGATTTGTTGACATATTTCTCATGAAAATCACCATTGTTTTAGAAATGAAGCAAAAAGATAGTGAACTTTTAGGTTATGACAATTCATAATCTTCACATTGAAAGCTCTCTTCTTTAGAATATTGTGTAATTTGGTTCAACGTCATTTAGCATTTCCTTATATGACTATCCTTTGTTGAAAAGGAGTGTAACATATCCAACCTTAAATTCAACCTTTCAAATGGTCGAATATTCATATAAAGTTTAAACAAGTCGTCCATGGTGTTCCATCTACGCAACACGCCACCATCTTAACATTTCTAAATCATTTCTATAGAGTGCAATTAAGCTCTGTAATAGTAATTTCTTCCATATTATACTTACAAAACATACTATTAAAATTTGTATTTGAGAGTCGTTAGTGTTAAGGTTTGAGTTTGTTCTAGGCTCACGAACTAATGGTGGAATGTAGATATTAGTTAAAATATATTTTTCTGTTAAGCAGAGCAATAATGCTTGAAACTATTAGTTTATCGTTTGTTTCTATAAATGAACTTACAAAATATTTATTATATTTAAAACATGGCGACGAAATTTTAGTTTTTCATGTTGTTATGATAATTTACAGTATTTATTATTTTGAATTTTTCTTTGACCTTTACTCGTTTTCCATGATATGTCACTCTAGCATTTTAAGACAAATATTTCTTAAGCATTTTTATACTCTCAGAAAGAAAAACTCAATTTAATGGAAAAAAAAATCGTGGAGAAATTTTTGTAAGCAATGTTATTCGTGGTTAAATACTGTATAGAATTTAAAGATGATTTCAAATGCGATTCAAAACACAGCTAATGTGATTTTTTATTACAAAACATAATGCGTAGTTTCAAGTCCAACACGTTCTATGAAATTACCACAAAACAGGTAGTTTACACCATAGTACCTGAATCTTGCTGAGCATTTTTACTTACAATACTAGTTGGTTCCATTATTCAATCTCTACACGTGCTGAAGTACATATAATTAATTACGGAATAAACACAGATACAAAATGAATAATCTTTGCCAAGGGGTCTCAGAGTATTTGAAATTAACAGCTACCTTGTAAAAATATACCCAAAGGACAGAGAGGCAACATGTGTGTAATCAATTGAAGATATATGGCTTTTGACAAATCGCCGTTGCATGTGTAAAGACCTGGCTTGTATGGGTGTTTTTGCAACAACACACACATACGCACAGAGAAATAACCTAGCGAGTTATACAATAGTTTGCCATTCATAGTTTTGTGCCTTCTTACTCTAACATTATGAACGAATACCAAAAATGTAATAAACTAAATCAGATTTTGTTGGTTGACATGATTTATTCTTGGCAATTAAGCTTAGCAAAACAATAAAGGCGTATTTCGTTAATGCCAGTATATGCTTAGATTTGTATTATAAAAACAACAGTTCTAAGCTAGCATTCGCTTGGGTTAATAGTTGTGTTGTACATTGCCTTTGAATTACACTCATAAACTATAATGACAGCTGCTGATGGCGGGCAGCTTTGGAAAAGAAAGAACCAAACATAAAAGTTATTATTTCCCAAGATAACTAATTAAACGTCGCTTTTTATACATTCTGGTATAACACTTAATACATACAGTACTCAATTACGAAACACTAGAAACTATCAAACAGGTCTTATAGCTTCGAAAATCCAAAGTTTTACTCTTAAGTCTACAGTTAAACTCTACCCCGTAATATTAGAATTATAGTCAAAGCCTTGATACGCAATGAATCATTGGTAGTCAGAAATTATATCTTCGATCACTACAATCTAATACATTCGTATTCTATAGTATACAGTTTACACAAATACCAGGATCACATTGTAAACTTTAAAGCAAAACTAAGTTACAAAAACAATTGTTACGGTGTGTATGCCTTTTACAAGCTGGTGAAGCGTGATTACAATTATATTTGCCATAAGACATTAGTATTAGGCCTGTTACATTTTTAAACACTGTATTCGTTATATAGTCCCTTAGAGATTTTCAAGAATGAGAAGAGTATGTGATAATAGTATTCCAACCACACGAAAATTTGTCACATCCATTGCTGACGACGCATTTTGCTCAATCTAGAACTCTTCAGCCGGCTGTGATACAACAAGCACAATAGTGATCGGTTCACTATTTATATAAGCCATTTGATACAACAAGAATTGCTGTGGTGTGTATGTCTTTTACCAGCTGGTGAAGCATTATTACAATTATACTTGTTGTAAGACATTAGTATTAGACCTATTTTGTTTTTGTATTTCGCGCAAAGCTACACGAGGGTTATCTGCGCTAGCCGCCCCTGATTTAGCAGTGTAAGACTAGAGGGAAGGCAGCTACTCATCATCACCCACCGCCAACTCTTGGGTTACTCTTTTACCAATGAATAG